ACCCAAATAAAAGTGGGTCAGTATTTAAACTAGTTCAAAAAATATGGGTATTTATGGGTCGGGTCAAGGTCAGATCAAGGGCAGGGCAAGTGAACCAGTTTTTTTGCACACCCCTATATAAAAATGTACATATGGATAGGGAGTTTGTATGAAATGATTCAAGTTTATGTATTTTAAAATGCTAAATAGGGTTTTGGTACTTCAAAACCAACTTTAATGGCAATTTTCGTACATTTAGGGAATCATGTAAGCACGTATGTATTTTCAGACCAAAAATCTCTTCCCCAAGTCACATTTACTAAGTTCATGAGTGTAGAAACTCAATTCACCAAAAAAAGCTCGTGGAAACAGAACCATGTGGCTCACAACACTGGTTTAATCGATTAACCTATACTGGTTTAATCAATTAAATGGTTTAATCATTAAACCAGTATGGGTTAATTGATTAAACTAGTGTTGTGAGCTATGTGCATCTGTTTCCACTAGTTTTTTTGGTCCAATGAGTTCCTACACTCATGAACTAAGTAAATGTGACTTGGGGAAAGGATTTATGGTCTCGAAATACATATGTGCTTACACGATTCTCTAAATGTATGAAAATTTCCATTAAGTTGGTTTTGGACATACCAAAACCCTATTTTATGTTCTTAAATACATAAACTTGATTCATTTCATATATACTCGTATATTAGGATTAGTTCAAATCATTAACGACATAATCCAAAAAGACATCAATTTCATTAAATTAAAGGTTCGGTACATAAAGGAAATACACAAAATAAATGCAAATTACACGAACAGAATAAATACAGATAGACATCCCTAAATCTACTCCTCCGCCTCATATGACTCGGTCTCCTCCTCCTCCTCCTCATCTGACATATGAGCCCCCTAATTTGCTGCCTCCTTAGCTTCCCATCCTCATACAAGCTCCAGACGACCAAGCTTTTCCTCCAAGCCCTTGAATCGTCCCTGAATGTGCTGAAATCTCTCATTCCCTTTTTCTATGTGGCTCTTCCACCACCTTTTCTGTTTAAGTTGTAGCTTAACTATCCTCTTAAGCGTGGCATTGATGCCTTTCATGACATCACGAAAGGAAAATCTACCCTTAGGCTCAATAATCTCCTCCATGTCAGCATGATCATCTAATCATCATCATCTGCCTCAGCCTCAACCATGTCTGTATCTGGGGCAACCTCAGGGACCTCAATCTCACCCTGTGTTGAGAACTGCCACACTCTGCCTATTCTTGGAGATCTTGCATTGATAGATGCTTCCCAAACTTGGCATTATAGCCTGTGCAGCTCTTAAACCGGCCAGTGTCCATGGGAACACCAAAATGCTCCAATATCCTCTGAACCAGAAAGGCAAATGGAAGTGCACCCTTATGCTTGGCTTTAACCATCATCCAACAAATATAGTGACTCAAATTCACCTGTACACTATGACAGATAGCTCACATGATAGGAATGTCACCCTCCAGCATCCTCGAATGATTTAAAGCTCGCAGGAACAATATGTGGGTGATGACGTAGTACAATAAATGGGCATCAATGCTAAACAACCTAGTAGTATAATGAATATTTCGCTCACATCTGATATCAGGCCTCCTGGCCTCCTCCACAGCATCACCCCGCACAATCTAGGAATTGCTACATTGTTATCCGCATCATACTCCACTGTGGGTTGACCATCAAAGTCGTATCCTAATAGCTCCAACCATATCGGAGCTGTCATGACTATATCCACACCGCAGACATGGGACCTCAGCTCACCTTGTATATTGCTAAGATTATGGTAGAAGGCCCTCACCATAACCTTTGAATAGGGACACATGATCTCATCCAACACCCTAAGATGTGCCCCATCCAACACCACTACTATGTCAAATCCCTCCACCATAAAGAATTTTGTATCAAGTGTTTTCGGTTGACAAATGGATCTGCTCACAAAATCCCATATAAATGCAGAATGCTACGATCATCTTCAAACAAATAGCCAAACGGGAGGTCCACAGACTCAGTGTCAGCCTCCTGTGAAGAAGAAGGATGGTCTTGGCGTTGCTTCGTCCGTCTTTTGCCATCAGTGTTCTTACTAGATCTTCTGCGGGAAGCCATGATAAAGGAAGGAAACCTATAATAACACATGATCAGAAAATCAACAAACAAAAAACAAACATAATCGAAAACAAAAATAAAAAATCAAACCTGAAATTCGTAAGAAAAAAAATCCCAAAACCTATGAAACCTAGACCTTAAACCATGTATATTCATCAAAACCTAAACAAAACATGCATCAAATCCAAGAATCAATGCAAAAAAGAGAGTCAATCGAACCAAACCACTTTCAATCAATCTAAGGTTCATGAATAAAAAAAATCGAATTATTTTTGGAGGAAATGGAAAAATACATACCAATATGAGAGTGTATACACTTTGATGTTTATTTCTGAACCCACCACACAATTTTGGGTAAAAATCTAAAGGGAAGAGGTTTTGGGTGTTCTTAATCGACTAGGGTGTGGTTTATAACCCCCTCCCATAAATGGGGTTTTAAAAAAGGTCATTGATGTTATTTAATCGATTAAGCACTATGGCTTAATCGATTAAATCACAAGATTTGTGTTTTCAACGTTTGTTAACTATTTAATCGATTAAACAGAGGCAGATGAGTGGCATGTTTTAGGGAGGGGCAAAATGATTATTATTTAATTGATGAAAGGAAAAAGGGTCAAAAAATTGTAGGGAGATGGTATAGTTGGCTTATGCCACATGGGCAACACCGTATTAAGTGATGTAATGATGCTATGTGGACTAATGTTACTTAACCTAGAGCAAAACTTGAGTACTGAGGGAGTACTTGTTTGGGTACTTTTTTTTCCAATTTTAGAAAGTTTTTTGTTTCATTATACTCCTTTATTTCATTTCTATTTCTATGTATGTCCTAAAAAAATTTCTTCTTTTAAGAAAGATTTAGGTGCATCGGATGCATAGAAATTTTTTTCCTTAACCTGTTGCTGTCACATGAAAATGGTCCATTTTTTTTAATATAGTTGCACAAATTCACTTTTAGTATTGTTGTAGGAAAAAAATTGTCACATGACAAAAATCAGAGGCAGAACTAGAGGGGGCTAGGGTGGGCCCCCACCCCCCCTAAAATTTGATGGGAAAAATTTATATAAATGGTATTTTAATAATTACAAAATGTGTGTGAATGGGTAAATTAATGACATGCGTGTGTGTGAAGAGGAAGCACAAAACCTCAACGACTCAAATCAAACTTCTGAAAATTGTTCAGCTTGCAACTGCAAGAGAAGACAACTGAAGAGGAAGCACAAGTATTTTTATTGAAGGGAGGCGTGAGACTCAATCTTGAAACACTCTTCAAGTACCTTTTCACTCTTCCGTTTTCAGTGATAGTTAGTAACCCGCCTCAACCTCTCTTACCTTCTCTTGGGGTAAAATTTAACAAAATGATTCAGCTTTTGCATTTTCATTTTTCATTCAACTTCTCCTAATTATTTTTTCATTCTGTTCTTATCTCCAACGCTCCACGTGGGTGCTACTGCTATAATAGAAAAGACATATATAACTTTGTGGGAATCTAATTTATTGATAATGGATAACATGATTTATTTATGGGCTCGCCTCTTTGTAGCAAACATATTTATATATGTGAATTCTGACATTTAAAAAGAATGAAAAAATTAAGATCCGCATGTGTATCCTGATTTTTTATATGTAGTATTAAAGCTTTTATTTATTATCCCCAAAAAACTAATGAAGATTGAAATTACTTGTAACTTGGAAAACACTGTGCCGAAATCTTATCCTGAAAAGACATTAACAATGGTATTTATAAATTTATTGATAAATTTTATTCTAGAGATTTCATAAAATAGGAAAAATTATATTTGAAGATGGAGTTATAACATTTTGAGCTTGACATTCTTAAACATTCAGATTTGATTAGTTTATCAACTACATCTGAATTATGTCAAGGACTAGCAAAAACGGGAAAATCCATCATCTACCGTCTCATTGATAGAATGATTAGATTTGTCCTCACTCTTCTAGTTTCTACAATAACTACTGAAAAATCTTTCTCAGCTATTAAAATAATCAAGTATAGGCTTCGAAATAAAATAGAAGACCGATTTTTTGATGATTCTTTGATCACATACATTAAAAAAGAAATTATTTTAAGTTTTAACACGGATTCAATTATATATGAGTTTAACAATAAGAAAACACGTAAATAAGAGTCAAATGAAGTGATATTAATATTTGTAATAGATTTTTTTTAATTTTTTTTATATTAAGTCAGTATTATATCTCAAATATTTTTGTTTATAATATATTATTTCTTATTTTTGTCCCCCGTCATTAAAATTTCTGCGTCCGCCACTGACAAAAATCATTCTAAAGTAGTGAATGATTTTTTAATTACATTTTTGTAGTGATTAGTTTTAAAAAATTTATATTAATTTTGGAAAAATCTGGAAAAAAAAAACTTATAAATCTCATAATGAAAATAATTTTGAAAAAAACTTGTGACTACAAAGCCATTTTGGGTTGCAACTTGCAAAACCAGATATTTTTTTATTTTATTTTATTTTATTTAAAAAAACAGAAAGAAAGAAAGAAGAGGAGAGAGACACAGAGAACGCTATAAACGGAAATTTCAAAATGGGATAAGGAAAACAAGTTCTGAGTCAGCACCAATAAAAACCAAATGCCTACTGGATAAGGATAATTTTATTCACGTAAAAACCCATACAGAGCTCGATCACATTTGTACTGGGACCCACACTTTCTCTCTATCCTCGCTTTAAATACGAACCCAATTTCATCCTCTTTCATACCAAAGCCTTCAACTCCCCGTAACGTCGTCGTATCAACACTGACCATCACCACCACCACTTCTTTCTAAGGCAAAACCAAATCCTCACCACCGTGCCACGTCAGATTCCGGCGAATAGTCTCCTTCGCCACCACGGCATGGCTTCCTGCACGTCGCTTTACGAGATTCTCAGAATTCCCGCCGCGGCTTCCAACCAGGAGATCAAGGCGGCGTACCGACGACTGGCCAGGGTCTGCCATCCGGATGCGGCGGCGGTTGGTCGGAAGAACTCGTCGGCAGATGAGTTCATGAAGATCCATGCTGCGTACTCCACCCTATCGGATCCTGAAAAGCGTGCCAGCTATGATAAGAGCTTGTTCCGTCATCAGCAACCGCTGACGACGACGACGGCGTCGAGATTTTCCGGCTACTCTGGTCGGAACTGGGAAACGGACCAGTGCTGGTAGCGAGTTGACTCGTCCGAGTTAGACAAGATTGAGTTGGGTTAGTTCGTTAGTTTGGGATTTGAATCTTAGGCGTAGTTATTGAATCGCCTTTGAGTGTAATCAGTAATTACTAATTAGTTAATGACCAGATCGTATGATGTATATTACGACTGTGCATACATATACGTATATAACATAAATACGAGTTGATTGAAGTTGTTATTCCTCAGTGCTCACTCAAGTTTTCCTCTACAAACCCAGTAGAAGACGAGTGCCCCTTGAATTTGCAGTTCCTTCTTGATATTGTAATCTAAAACAAAATTTTCATGGAACGCAAAAGGGAAAAAACATTATATGGTATGTATATTGGCTTTAATCATATCATATTCATTCCCAAAATAACATCATTTTGGATTAAAATATTAAAAAAATTATAATAAAACTACTATTATAATCTTGAAATAAATTATAATTACAAAAATACATTGATTTTCGCTTAAAACGATATTGTTTTGGACTCAATGTAAATAACTTATCTACATTGACTGCATAAAAAACGCACTCATGTATGTGTGTGTGTATATATATATATATATATATATATATATATATATAGTTGCTTTTTCTGCCGTCACTGTAGATAATTTATCTCTGTAGCAAGCCCAATACGACATCGTTTTTGGGCGAAAATTGTAGTACTTTTTATAATTTTAATTTACTTCAAGATTATTATTTATTATAGTCTTTATAATTATAAATTTTTAATCTTTCAATTCCAAAACGACATCGTTTTGGAAGTAAATGCAGATAACTTATCTGCATTAACTGCATAAATATTTTTTCGATATATCTATATATATATTTTTTAATTTAAAATCTATAATAACAGAAGAAATTACACCGTCGAAGTTTAAAGATAAAAATTATTATTAGATAAATTAAAGGTATAAAAGTTCGGCATAGATTTTAGGGTTTTATTTTTCTTATGTTGCATGAGACAACTTGTCTCATGCAACACACAGAAAATGAGTGGGACCCGCTTCTTTATTTTCTCTTTCTTCCTTTTTAGCGGGTCCCACTCATTTTCTGTGTGTTGCATGAGACAACTTGTCTCATGCAACATAAGAAAAATAAAACCCTAGATTTAAATGTTAACAACAAGTAGAAATCTGCAAATAAGCGATGGATTTTAATAATCACAGATTTGGTGACTTAATTTTTTCTCTTTAAATTATTTTACGATATTTTTATTACCAATTTACTATCACTTTTAACAAACAATTTTTAATGTATTTTTCAGAGTACATAGTTATATTAGAGTGGTAATAAATTGGTAGTAGAAAAATTTGGCCGTAAGAATATTCTTACTCGTATTTTGTTGTTAAATTTGTCACTAAGAGCCCGTTTGGATGAGTTTTTCTTCTTCAAAAGCTGCTTTTTTTTAAGAAAAAAAAAGAACTTCTCGAAAAAAGTCTGTTTTGATACCTGCTTTTAAAAAAAGCAGAAGTCATAAAAAAAAGTCAAAAACCTACTTTTTTCGAAAGCTAAAAATTTTAACTTTAAAAAAAAACAGAAGTCAAAATTCAAATATTTTTATAAAAATCTAAATAATTGTAACTTTTATAGAAAGTACTTTTAAAATAAGGAAGTGATAAAAAAGATTTTTTTTAAAAGCTAATACAAACGAGCTCTAAGTATGTGAAATATAATTAAATATAACTAAATATAACCGTCAATTATTTTTATTGCCAAAAGCAAAAAAAAATTTGGTAGTTAAAGGATTATAATTTTAACTTTAAAAATGTACCTAAAATTTATTTTTGAAAAAAGGAAGGAAAGAAAGGAAAGAAACAAGAATGAAATGAAAATTTAATATCTAAAATGACACAATAAATAATTACCATTTTAGGAAAAATTCTTTTAATAAATCATAATTGCAAATTATATAAAATATAAAAGTTTTATTATCGTTAGATCAAAATCAAAGTTGATGTTATTTTGTAACCGTTGATTTGATTTTGATCTAACAATAACAAAGTTGGTAATAAGAGATAATAAGAAAAAATGGTCTAAGAGTAAAGGAGCATATGATCTTCTCTTCGATATGCCTTGGATGAGTTAAGGTGTAAGAACCCACACCGTTAATTAAGGTATTTAATTAATTAATTTTGAGAAAATAGAAAATGATTCCATAATTGACCCTAATAATTATTATGAGGCTCTAATAATTATGATAAGTGATTAATAACGCTGAAAGTCGCTTTTCGGAAGAAAAATGCAGATATCGGTTCTGCTAGTCAGTATAAATGCGTACCGAAAAAGTATCCCAAAAAATTAATGTAAGTGCATGATAATTACTAGAATAATATGTAGGACTTGTAAAACGAGTTTCAAGTCCAAATAATGAGAACTGGTGCCAGAAACTGGTACTGGCTGTGAAAAGCGCGTACCAGAAAGATGCTCAGAAAAATATAATAAAAATATGATAATTCTTGTAAAATTGAGTAGGTTAAGAATCCAAAGTTTGGGATTAAAATGCTAAGCGTAGCAATTAAAGTTAATATTGTGTGCTTAAGTGAGTTTTGGCTATAAATACACCCATTATGGGCACAAAACCCCAGGACCAGAATTCTCTACGTGACTCACTTGGTGGCTGAGTGTTGGCTACTGTTCCATTGCCTTCCCTTCATCAGTTCTTGAGCTTGTGGCCATTTCCTTCACAAATTCTTCTCCTAAACACTTGGTGTGAGTGAGGATCAACATTGGGAGCGTGTTGGTGGTTTTGTTTCTGAGTTTTGAAGTCAGTGTGGGGGAGGTTTGGTTGCTGACTTGTTGGTTTTGGGTTGAGAGAAGCCTTGTCTTGGCTTTTGGAGGTCCAAGTGGTGACATTTGGTGTTAAAGAACCAACCTTTGTGTTGCTATTTTCGTGCACCTTGAGGGACAGTACCTTAGCATCTGATTTGTGAGCTCTAAGAGCCATTCTTGCTCTGTTTTAAGCTTTGGTAAGCCTTGTGACCTTTGAACTTGAGTTTTATGCTTAAAAATGGAAGCTTGATGCATGTTAAGGCTAAAAGATTATAACTTAACGTTGGGTAATGTCAAACACACTTAGAAATGCATGTTTAAGTGTTTAAAATCGGTAAAAACTCAACCTTGGAAGATATCTTCACGAAATGCAGTTTCTGCATTCTGTCGTGAAATATCCGGATATCTGCCCGAGAAATATCCGGATATGGGATTTGGATATCCGGATATTGGATATCCGGATATGGGAATCTGAATATCCGAATATTGTATATCCGGATATGGTCAGTGAGATATCCGGATATTGCATATCTGGATATGTACCCGAGGAATATCCGGATATTCTAGAATTTCGAAGAACAGTAGCTGTGCTGTTAGGACAGTAGGCTGTTGGGGGTTTGTGGACCCTAGATTGATGAAGTTGAACTTCTGTAATTAATGAACTAAGTCAGAATCATGTGATTTGGGCTTGTGGCTTTGTTGGAAGCCTTGAGACATAAATCGTTGAAGGAGAACGTAGTCTTTATGTTAATGCTTTTGAGTTATGTATGTTCATACACTTGCTGGTCCTAAATCAGATTGTGATATGCTGTGTGTTGGACTTGAGCTGTGAGGACTCTTGGCTTTGGATAGTGAGCTTGCAAGGTAAGCTTTCGTGTCCTCGGTTTAGCTATGTTGTGGTTCCACCATGTCCCATGGGGGTATGGTTATATGCATGCTGTGTTACATGCTTTTGATATTTTGGAAATGCTGTTGAGCTGTTATATGTTAGTGTCTTGTTGATATGCATGGAGGTGTTTCACCTATACGGTAAGCCTGAGTATGTAGAACATACAATAGGGTGAGGCTGTGGGTGAGGTGCAAGCGGTGTTCCTTGTACTACATGTAGGTATAGAGGTATTCCTACATTTCTCTGGCCAATAGAATAGTGATTACACACATGCTATAGATATCTGTTGCACTACATAGTTTTGGAACTGATAATGATATAAATGCTTTTAGAACTTATATTGCACATGTAAGTGAGCTTGGGGTGGAAGATCCTTGAGGATCCCTTGTCTTACTGAAATTTCTTGTTTAGAGATCTCACCCCACGTTTGGGGAATGCTTATTTCAGGATCAGGTAATGTTGAGACCTCAGGCGGCAGGAGGTCGGAGCTGAGTTAGATATTGATGATATTATATGCTGACTTGTTGGATGCTGGTTATGCATGCTGCTTTTATGCTTTTAGCTTCAGTTTATGATTTGGATTATCATGTTGAGACGCTGTTGATTTGGTGAGCATGAGGATTGTCCATGACACATAGTCTTGTTTATGTCTTGTTTTAGTTGGAGTTGTAATAATGTATCAGGATGTTGTCCGGACTACTTGATGTAGATCCGTGACTTATATACTCACTTTATATTTATATATTGAGGTATTTCAGTTAGTTGTCTTGCAATTTACATACAGGCATTGGGTTTTATGAAATTGATTAAGTAATCAAGATGGTAATTGATAATGACGTCATAATTGAAAAGAAAAAGAATATTCCACATTTTTAATTAAGCACCGCTTAATACGATGTAATGATTACACTACCGGATATATACGGGGTGTTACATTTTATGGTATCAGAGCAACGGTTCAAGGGAAAAGCTTGTATGTATTGCAATGATTAGGATGTGTGGTTGTGTCTGTCTTGTGTGTTTGCTCCGTTGGTTTTATTATGATGCTGCATATGTAATCACACTACGTGGGCCTGATCAACTCATAATTTGTGCAACTTGTGCAGAGTCATGGTAGGATCCAGGAGAACACGTGAGACTGCTGAGGATCAACTCGATCCAATCCTGGCTGCATTGGCTGAAATGCAGGAGGCCACTAGATTGGCCAACGTGGCAATGATGGACGCTGCTAGAGAAGCGAACCAGAAGGCCACAGAGGATGCTCTTGAGGCAAATTGGTTGGCGAACATGACCTTGATGAGGGCCATGTTGGAGGAGATGAGAGCTG